TAGGTACCCCCATCGTCAGTTTGTCTGACTGCTTGTCAGTTTCCACCTGTTACATGATGCATCTTGTCATCAAAATAAACTCATCCTCCCAGGAAGTTAGGTTAAGGAAAAGAGCGTGGTTGACGTTAACTTGACTCACGTGACTTGTGCACCATGTGAGAAATGCCTCACATAAAATTATGTAAAGGTTTACTCTCAGTTTCGCCAGGGACTTGAAGAATAGACCCCTGGCCAAAAGACATGTTTGTTTGACAGTAATTCATTTTAAGAACGCACATATCCAGCGAAACATCCCTTTCCATCACACGAGAGCAAAACTTTTCAAACTAGTCACACAACACCACTCATCAGCATCCACTAACTCTGGTGACATCATGGCGCATCCCGCAGCCAGAGAAGCCCCGCCCTCCACATCAGCCCTTTCAGGCGGCCAGGTTATAAGTCATCCTCTCATAGCTCTCTCTGTTCCAGTGTTCTTCGCTTATTTGCCCCTCGCTTCACTAACGCTCCATCCCAGCATTCTTTTCTCTTCTCTTATCCCAAGCTGTCGTTTTCCTGCAGAAATGCAACCAGGGAACTTACTGGGGACACTAGATCCTGAGCTGTATTGCCACGTTTTTGCAGCTTGCCGTTCCCTGACTTGCAAGCTCACCATCCCATCCAGCCACAACATGCACCCTCTGCTTTGCACCTCAGCTCCTAATAAACAAAGACCCGGCATTTTCTACAGCTCCCCCCCCGCCAAGACATAGGAAGCAAAACTTCAAGTTATCGATTCCTCCATACCTGCTCCCTCCGCGGCGGAGCCCATGCCAGACCAACTTACCCTCATTATACAACGTAGCACACTGTGTAATTGTCTCAATACTCAAATTAACAGCCATGCTCTAGCTACTGACATAATGCAAGTTTTTTTTTAGCTTCCTTATACAAAGTTTGACTGACTTACTGACTACTGGCATCTTTTCCGACATCAAACCAACCTAATTCTAAGAAACCTAAGTCAAGCTTTTGCTCAAGACTTTTTGTTCGTCTCTGGAGTCGCCACAACTTCTGCAAAATCTTGTCCGGATCCTGGACCCTTAATCATTCATGATCATGGCTCCCCTCCATCTTCCATATATAATAAATTATTCTAAAACCATATTGTCATTGGTGTGGTTTTTGTTAGTGAAATCAAATTTTTTTTATTTATTTATTTTTTTAAATTTTTTTTTTTTTTTTTTTTTTTTTTTTATAAATGGGTTCTGGGGAAAAAGATCATGCCTCAAACATATCTCATTTCTGCAGAAAAGTATCTAAGCACATCTGATTTGTTCACTTCACCTTTACTCAGTTTCCACATCCCTCCCATTCTACAGGAACCACTGGATGCTCTGCAAAAATCAGCGCTCATGAAGAGATGGCTGACTCGCTTTGAGTTTCAGCTCCCTCTTGCCTCCAGCTGACACCGGTCCAACATCGTTCTCCTCCATGACCCTGATTCCTCCCCTCATCCTTTTTATCCCTCGTCCCCTTATCCCTCCATCCCTCTGCCCCAAACTCTTCATACCTCACATTTCATCCCCTCATTCCTTTATCCCTCGACTCTCATCCCTCATCTTCCTTCCCTCATCTGGTCAACAGCTGGAGATGAATTAAATCATGATGGAGAGGAAAATAAAGCTTGTGCTACAGTTCTTTTTCAGTTAATGTGAATTCACTGTGGTACGTGGTGATTAGTATCTCTGCGTGACAACACTAGCAGGCTGCAATGCATCATCATGAGTGTCACGCCTCAGTGTCGGCCAGCTACAAACAGCAGCGTATCACTGCTCACCGGCTGCTTTATAAACTGGCACGCAGTTCATTGTGACTAACATTGATGTCTACATCAATGGGTTAAGATGTTCCCCAGAGCTATGTGAGTAGGACTAGCCATGCAAGTAAGAGAACCAAGACTGGAGGGATTTTGGTTCTTCCTATCTAATTTATAAGCGGGCTATTCCCAGCACCCCAAATCTATGATCTGTTTCCTTATTTGTGTAATCTTCCCCCAGTACTGATGAATTCCACAGAGCCACGAGGAATTTATACTGAAGGTCAGATGTGAGAAAAGCTGGTTAATATGGGAAGCAGTGGACTCTCCTCTCTTCTCTTCTTCTAACCCTTTTCTCAGGCAAAACATGGAACCAAAAGGTAAAGAAATTCAAGTCAGCCATTGATTTGAACCAAATTATAGATCATTTTTGCAGTAGCGTATTCTTCTTATATCTTACGTGTGCATCCCTTAAGGATGCACACGGACATGATACACTTTACTGCATTGTGCAGATGCACGTTGAATGTAAAACAAACCTTGTTTGTTTGCAGTGAAAACTCCCCGGGGCACATTTAATGGTATAACAGCTGACTGAGTTTGAGACCAGAGAGTAACCAACAAAATAAAGAGTGAAAAGCTGTTTTTCATTCGGACTAAATGAAGCTCTAGCGTAAGTTCAGTCAGGGAGACTATGCTATACATGCTAATGTGCTAATAAGCCTAATATGCTTAGGCTTGTAGTTTATTTCTCATACATCTACCATTCACTACTCACTCATGTTCACTCATAATTTCCTTGCTGCAATTGTTCAGGGCTGTCAAACATAACTGTTCTAATCAGCTGGTGTTCTCTATCCAACAGCACAGTGACACATTTACGCCGTTAGCCTGCTGCTGTCTCCTTTAAACATGATTGTTTCTCTACCTTCAGTACCTTCATGCTGCTGTTACGCGTCCCTCCCCATGCCAGTGTTGAGTTTCTCATATTATGCTGATTCATTTTATTTTGTTTATTTGTCTTTATTTTCCTTCATTTTAAGGATTACCTAAACGTGTACATGTTCACATTCTCTTTTATTCAATCTTTTGAAGTTGTATTCCAATGCGTTGTCTGTTTGTAAAGCATGTTGAAACTGCCTCTTGTATGAGTTGTCCCAAATAAATACAATTTCCATAGAGGTTGATCTAATATCATATACACAGAAAATAACTAACACAGCATGCACATGATTAGAGTCGGAGTGAAATGTAAACAAACAATAAAAAAACAGGATTGAATACTATTTACTCCTGCATATTTTAAAATACGTAGTCGGTTGTCAATCCCTGTGGGACACAAATGACTGCAATAAAAAACAGTAATATCATATAAAAACTTCAGTTGACTAGAATAAATGAGCAACAAGAACAACTAGGCTTGACTTCATTTTTTTTGTCTGGTTTTGTTGGCCAGGCCTGCTGTGTACAAAAAAACAGCCCCAGATATTGATATTTACTGCCCTCTCTTTTACTGGGTTTGATCAGAGGAGAACTTGGTAATGTCCCATGTCGTTCCTCAATTAACATCTTAAGACTGATGACTTTATTTTGGGTTTTAATAAGGCGACAAAACAAAAAGATCAATCAATGATCCCAAAGCCGGCTGCGACCTCAACCCCGAGATCAATAATAGTTAACTTTCTACACTTTAATGTTAAACTGCTACTTAAGAAAGCATGGCAGCAGAAGATTGATGTCAGTGTATATGTTACTGGTTAAGAGTAAATGAAGATGGCACACAGCTCAAATTGAAAGGTTTCAGGTTCACCGGGAAAAAAAAGCACTTTTATTGTTATTTCTTTGGAATGATGCAGCTGCAAGTCTAAAAACACTCCCAAATCATAAAACAATATTTGAACAGTCTCTGTGCAAAGTTTGACTTTGATAAAGTGAAGCAGAACAAAATTAGAGAGGTTTTAGTACAGAGGTCACGCGAGGTCACCAAAATGGTCATTTTGGAACCAGCTGTTCCATTGTAATTTCCTAGACTATATAACTATATATTTCACTTGTGTTATCACTAATAGTGTTTAATCTATCCAAATACAGCAGTTTGGCTTCATGTTGAGAGCTAGAGTCCTATCTGAGCCCTGTTTGTGTCTGTGATTCATGGATCCATTCTCGTCTGACTGCAGTTTCTCTGTGTCTATGTAGACCTAACTCAGCAGCCCATTGGTCGATTTCAGTCAATGAACCCTCCTTAGATGCGTCGGGGTCCATAGAATTGAGCTGGGACAACGTGGTATTGATTGACAGAATCGTTAGCCAGTCAGAATCAAAACCGCGCCGTCCCTCGGGAAGCATAAAATCCGATACGGCGTTATGGATTGTGAAATTGGAGCAGCAGACGTGTCGGACCACAGTTCATCTTAATGTCAAGCTAAAACCACAGGAGAAAAAAACATGGAGATTAAATGTTGGAATACTAAATTACAAGTCGGTTGTTGAGAAGATCAAAACAGAGATTAAAACATACCAAAATGACAATGGTGAGGTTAATCCTACCATCTTGTGGGACGCTCTTAAAGCAGTTATGAGAGGGGAACTTATTGCTAAGACAGCAGCTATCAAGAGAGCTAAAGAAGAAACATACAAGAAGGAAAAGGAAAAACTGCTTGAAATCAGCACAAAAATACCCGCGACCTCCCAGTAATTGGGGAAAAACCAGAATGACTTTTTGACTTCACCTATTACAAAAATAGAAATGGAGAAAGCTATGGGTAGACTGAAAAGAAATAAATCCCCCGGCACTGATTGTTTACCAGCGGAGTGGTACAAAATACCAATACTTGAGTGGTCATTTAACTATACAGTTAACCATGGTGAACTCCCACCGTCCTGGAAGGAGGCTGTAATTACAGTGATTCATAAGGGAAAGAACAGTAATACCTGCTCTAGTTACAGACCCATATCAATACTTAACCTGTAAAAAAAGATCAACCAATGCTTAATGGAGAGTGTGTGTGTGTGTGTGTGTGTGTGTGTGTGTGTGTGCACTTCTCATTGTTTGCATATTGTCTTGCATAAATGTGGGAGGAGCCTGTGTGGCAGGAAGAAGACAGAGGAGAGACATAACAGCAAAGTCAGTACATCAGCATAATGTATATCTCCATTCCTTTATTATTTGTTTTTAATATGAAATGAAATAACATTCTGTCAGAGAAATGTGTCATATGCAGAAGGGTACAGTGAACCAGTTTCTAACTGCATGGTTTGCAAAAATGAAAGGGATATACAGTATCTTTTTCATATATTTCATTCAGTATGTCTGGTGGATCTTTGGGTCAGGGAATCTGATGTTTGGCTGAATTAAGTTTTGATGGAACGTATATAAGGTGGCTAAAGCCTCCATTGATTCAACAGGAACACAGATACCACACAGGAACACAGAGTCATATCAACCGATACAAAGCACAGCTAATACTGTAACTGTCACCTACAATAAGAAAGTAAATGATATTAAAATGACCAGCCATTAGGTAATAAAAATAGTACACAGAGGTTGAGCTTTTTTTTTGTCAATGTACTGCTGAGATATGCATTGAGTAAGTGGTAGCAGTGCCGGGTCACATTGTGGGTTTAGTGGGCAAAAGGAAGTGTAAGGGCCTGATCACAGCAGGTTTTTTTTTTTTTGCTGCTTCTATTTTTTACTTTATGCTAGACAACTCCCGAATGAGTGATAATGTCTGCTTTACATAAACCATGAAGTGTAGGCTAGCTAATAGTTGATAGTACAGTTTAAATGGCTGAAAACCCCAAATCTCAAGTAAAGCACTAATGTTATGTTTTCTGTTCAGATCATGGTAGCTATGGTTGGTGAAGTCACATACTGTAGCTCTGGTTATCCAGCAAAACTCACTACGATTAGGAAAAAAAACGTGGGGACGTTGGGCGCTTTTACACTCAAAGTTGATTTTTTTTTTTCCAACTTAAGGCTATCAGAGTGCTCCTGCAAAACGCTTCACTCTCATTGACAACAATTACAGAAAGCCGTCCCAGGCTGCTAAAAGGCGCTTGATCTGATCAGGACCTAATGCATAAGGTGGTAAATATTGAATACACAGAAGTGAAATTGCTGTTGAATATTTTGTAAATATTTTGCATTTTCAGCCACACTAGCGACATGGCTCTATGGATGGCTGGTGGATGGATTGCCATGAATGTTTGGACAGATATTATTGGTTTCCAGACAATGTATCTTAATACATTTGGTGGTCCTTCACTTTTCCTCTAGCTCTACCACAGAGTTTACATTTGTTTGTTTTTGTAGAAATGTCTCAACAGGTATTGGATATATTTTGTATACCCCTCAGGATGAATCCCAAACACTTTTGTGATTTTCTGAATTTTTGCAAATTGAACGCCTTTTTTTTTAAAATCAGCCTCAGCTATACTTTGTGTTTGCTGGGAATTAGCAAATGCTTAGTGTTAGCATGCTAAGGTGGTGGCAATGTTACATTGTACCTGCTGTGCGTCAACATGTTAGTACAGTTACTATGCTGATGTTGATGTTAGCCCAAGTACAGCCTCACAGAGCCGCTAGTATGGCTGCAGACGGTTGTGATGACAAGACTTGAAACTTTGTACATCACCTCAATTGGTTTTGAACCTGGCAAACATAAATGTGGGAAGAATGTGGGACTGCAGTAACATAAGCAGTGCAAACTGCAAACATTGAAGGACTCAGCTGATGTGACCCTGATAATTACTACAGCCTCTTATAATGAAATCAATTTCTATCCATTTGTAGCAAACTGAAATCAGTATTTAGAGGCTTCTCTTAAGATGAAGTATCATGCTGGGTTCTCTCAAAGACTGAAAATAACCTTGTGGATAAAAAATTCTCAAGTGCTGCTGATTCAATGATGTTTTTAAAGCAAAAAAAAACAAACATACCATAGAATCTGTAATTTGTTCAAAAACACATAAAATAGTACCATACATTGTAAGTTACATGTACTCTTTGGGGAACATACAAGTACACGCATAGAGAAAGCATTACCCTCACATACTGTACACACCTATGTCGCATAATACTGACAACACAAGCAACAAGCCACAGGTAGTCCAGAGGAAAACTTTTAACTAATATGATTACGATGACCCCTCTCAGTATTGGTCCTGAATTGATATTTGATTTACCTGGATAGGAACTTAATTGACAACAATTGTGTTTGCTGTTCTGTGCATCGCCAGACAAGAATGTCGATATTGGACATATCTGCAAACCACTGATTACATTCCGCAACTATACGTTTTAGGTCCATTGCTTATGTTTTCAGTATTCTGAGGTAATTTACTCTGGTTGAGATGAAGAGGGTTGAGTTGAAATGTCAAGGTGAAAGTACACTTATTGAATTGAGGTTCTTTTTTGGAAAATTAATGAAACCTCACCCCCGACACCTTTCTGTAGCAGCAATTGGCCAAGCATGCAGAGGTTAGACCATAGTAGGGTTTTAACTTCTCTTACAAGCACTCTTTTTTTCGTTATTTATACATGCCACTTTTTGTACTTACGAAGAAGTGCAAGAAAAAATTGATTCTTCTTATTTCAACGATGATCAGGCCTATCCCCTCTCTATGACACCTGGCATCTCCCCCAGATGTTGAGTCTCGCTGTTTGGAACAGTTATAAACACTTTTTGCGTTCAGATGTGTTCGAACGACACAAAGTACAAACTAGTTTGTTTCAAGCATAGTAGCCAAAAGGATAAATTAAAACAGTTAAGCTTGAGGTTAGGGTGTTGTTTCGTTTGGGGAAAGATCATAACTCTTTGGTGAGGGTTATGCCTTAACAGTAATAGCTTATGGTTGGGGTAGGATCATGGTTACAGTTAATAATTATACACAAACAATACTTCTTGCATTGGCACGGAAATGTGTAGCTGGACATAAATCATGAGGTGCGGAATCGCCCACAATGTACGTAATTTCTAGGGGTACTGAGCTGGTGCACTGGGCGAATAATCCCCCTTCTGGTTAAAAACGTATTCCAGAATTAGACTACAATAAAGACCCAATCAAAGCATTCTTCTGCTACCCAACATCATTCAGAAGAAGAGTGGCCCATTGCGCTAGCTCCATTCTCTTGGTCTTTCAGAATGCTGTTGCTAAATCATGAATAAATGATGGTAATGGCATTTCTGTAATCCTTCTGTAATACTTATTGTGTGCCTTAACTGAGGGAGAGTCCAGATTGTTTCACATCTTGCCGTTGCTCCTAATGGAATAGTTGGAGCACCCAGATCTCTTCCAGATTACCTCCGATTGCTCCAGCAGCAGCTGGTGGGGAGGCAATCGAGTGGGTTCTCTGTATCTGTTGAAGTGCTCCTTGCTCCGTTCGACTTTACGTTTCAGGTAAGCATGCTTGTGCCTTTTCATCCTTACATTTTATTATTTGCTCCACATGGTACAAATACTTCAAATAATCAATCACAGCAACTTGTCGGTCCAGTCGATGCCAGAATTCAAAAAATGTGACGGTGCTCGTTTTTCTACAGTACCACAAGCACCATAGGTACCTCCAGACTAATGGAGTCTAAAATCCAATAGGAGGCATTCAACTAACTATCAACGCCTTCAGCCTCCAGTCGATTGGCTACATTGTGAACAACAAGAACATGTTGAAATCAGCAGAAGGAAAGCTAGTTAACATTAGCTGTTAGCAGATGGCAGAACAGTCCTGCGGAGCTTGCAGCTAATGTTAATGGAGGTTGCGTTGAGTTTATTTATCATTCATTCAAGATATATTCAGTTAAAATGGGTAAATTATAACGTCATGACATGTTTGGCCAGAAACCTGAATAAATACAGCTGTCTGAATCTTTTCACAGCAATATAAAATAAGACTAGTTCAAAGTGTTTGTGTTGTATTTTTTTTAACAATGGTAGTAAATTGGGTATTGAAAATGTTAGGATTTCACGGGTAATGGTGTTGATTAGTAAATTTCTGGTATCGCGACATCCCTACTCTGTCTACACACTTAAACTAACAAGAAATATTCATATGGTTTGTACACACTATTTACAAATTCCATGTACATTTATATTTCAGAGTCTAAGGACCAGCTATTTGAACTCACCTTCTGTTCGACTAAAGTTGTGCTTAAAAGCAACTCGGGACAAAGCCAAGAAAGGCAAGTGAGGTAAGTGGTAATGATGCAAGGGATTCTTTCCACACAGCAGTCAATGCAACTTGGATTCAAGAAAGAGAAATACCAACTCTGTGCAACTTTCTTTCCCCCAACATCAAAGCTGAGTTTATCCACAGATGCTCACCCAATGTAGCACAAAGGAAGTTTGCATCAGCACTTTAGTAGTGGTGAAAGTATTGCCAGAGGCCATAGTTATAGACAAAGTACTTTCAAGAGGTTTTTAAGTTGATTCTTGAAAATAATGAATCATGTGCACTGTACAGCACCAAGCCACTGTGAATCATTGGCACAATACAAACATTGATACCGTATATAACATTTACATATCAGTTTCCATTTAAAAGATGCTCTTTTGCCCGTTTCCTTCCCCTTTTCATACTTCCATTGTCGTATGTCGTTTTTTTTTTTTCATTTCCCAAACTCATGTTGAATGAACAAAGACACAACACAGAATCACACATAATAAGTGTGCATCTGAAATGAAATCTCATAGTGAGCACTTGGTGCCACATGTCAAATGATAGCGATCTCAGTACTGGATCAGCCTGTGCCAACAGGCTCAAAACCAGTTCCAGAATGTCCTAGATGAAGTTGGACAAGTATTCACAATGTGGCACAGATGGGTTCATAGCATGAGGAAGTGTATTCCGTTGCAGCCTAATCAGTACGCAGTCTCTTTGATGATGTTGGTGGAGAGGGTGTGGTTGCTGGAGATGCTGATGGAGTGGCGGTTAAAGGGGTGGGGGTGCCTCCTGGGTGTACGGCGGCAGGGCAAGCAGAAGTAGCGCAGCATGGAGAAGAATATCTGGCGGTAGGTGGCCGACACCAGGTTGTAGAGGATTGGGTTGATGGCGGAGCTGACGTAAAACAGGACGTTGGTCAGCATGTAGAAATAGTGGTAGAAGTCGTATAAGTCACTGTGAGAAAACAGGAGACAGGGAGCCATTGTTACATGTGACATATTTATGTGTTTGAATAGATATATTAAACATATCATATACGACATATCTTTCAGCTTCCTTCTAGCTGTATGCAGCTTTAATAATGGATATATTGGCTGTAATTCATCACTTGTACTGTGGATTCAGGGGCGGAGCGAGACACTGTAAACATTCAGGGCTCAGCTCCAAACCTAGGGTGCTCCAGGGGTAGCTATATGAACATTTTTCTTTAGCCATTTGAGATACGTAAGAGAATGCCTTAAGACCTGTACATTAATTAGCAAAAACATGACAGTTGCCAAGGAGTACAAGTCCTCCTGTAGAGCCAACATCCTATTGTTCTCCAACTGTCTTCATCATTCTAAACCATAATAGAACAAATGTTGACAATGACTAATTTTCACTTCTGCCACGTAAAAAGAGGCAAAAATAGTCTGTAACTACACTATTATGTTTCATGATTGTGTTTTCATACTTTATAAATGGTGGATTCCCCATTTGTAAATGAAGTATTATATATATATTACAAAGTAATTATTAAGGAGTTGTAGATGACTAATAACATCCTTTATAAAAATACTTAACTAACAACTAGTAACTACCTGAATTAATCATGAATTGCAGTATTAATATGCATTTACAAAGCATGAATTAACATAGTCCCTAATCATCAGTGCATATCTAAATCATTATATATATATATATGTATATATATGTATATATGTGTATATATGTGTATATATATATAAATGATGATTTAAGTGTTTACTAATGCTTCATAGCGTGCAGTTATTATAAAGTGTTACCACCTATTTTTCTAATATGATGCTGGATCATTAATACATCCATGGTTTTTAGCCCAATTTCAGTAATTCTGTTGAGGTTATTCAACAATATATCCAATGCAATGTCAGCACCTAACGATTGGCACTGCCTCATAAACAAACACTAGATGCTGCGGCTACTAGGCTAGGCTACTACGGGCAAGCAAGCTCATGAACGCATGGTGTGGATAAACATTTCTCTTTACAATCAACAGTTGAAATGATCAAGGCACTTGCAAATGACAAGGTAGTACATTATGTAAACCATACTTTGGTGTTTCATTTTTACCTGTTTACCTAGGATGTCATTAAATTGTTTTTCTTTCTTTTTACAACTAGGAATAATAATGAGAATAAATATGAAACAAAATTTAAATCATACCCTCTAAACTATGCATGAGCGCATTAACTGTAAAGAATGTACCTGTACAGTGTGTTTATTGTTTGCTAATGTTTTTAACCAGTAAAACTATTTTTTTTTAAAGGATGAGAAAGCATCAGGAAGTTGTATGTGTGGGCTTTCCACCAGCCTCTGGAAGGAAGAAGAAACATTTTCTATGCCTCAATTAGATGAACATATACTGGAGAGTAAAAAGGGAGGAAAAGGGAGCATATTGATTTCAATTTCAATCCATTAAGGAATTGGAATGCATTACACACAATTTGAGATCATTGGCATCGTCAGCATCAGGCTTCCGGGGCTTTAGCCGGGAATGTTTTTTTGTCTAAAAAATACAATCATCATAAAATGGAAATAATTCAATTCCAGACAACACTGACCCTTTCTGCTGCCTGTGCGGGTTGATGTAGAACAGGGCTGGTCAATTAAAATTCAGTGGCGCTCCGTAAAAATGTAATAATTCTTAATTATCTATTGGTTATAGGTCCGGGTCCTAAGGCAACAGTGTCTGGGTCCAGACTTGGACCGCGGTCCGCCTAATAGTGACCCCTGATGTAGAAATTGGGGCTGGGTCATTTTTTCTTAGCCTTCACAAGCTCAGCATTGTTTCTGCTCAGCTGTTAGGCTCACACAGCAAAAGCACTGATTTTAGACCACACAGTGTCCATGAGATTTTTTTCTTTTCTGGCAGACAGCGCTAACTATATGAAAAGTTCAGATATTTAGAGCGGCAGCACAAATAAGACGGCGGCTCTGAGTGCTCTGAAAAAGGATGCTGGAAAGGACGCACATCCGCTGTTTCAGAGAAAGCATGATTTTGTCTGGTAACTGGAGAAAAGCAATATGGTCTAAACACCTGATAGTCACTAAATAGTTAACTATCTTCAGGGTGTTGGTGTATTTTATTTCTAGAACACAAAGGGCCAAATCTTAAGGAGTTAAATATAAATGTAAAAAAAGGACTAAAAAGAGTAAGGCAACAAACACTGGTGCTATAGGTTTGCGAATTCTTAGCTACCCTGCAGATGTCTGTGTCCGCAAAAAAAGTGGGCGTTAGTGTTCAAGACAGAACAGCAGGGGCCACAGAAAAATAATTGGCTCCAGATTGGCTCAACTCCAACAAAGGCCCCTGGGTGAGAGTGTTTAACTGAGTGATCTGACTCGGTCCCTCTTATTGCTGTTGAAGAGGAGAAGGACGAGGGAAATTAAGGATATAAAGATTACATAGGATGTGACAGGAGACGGGAGGGGTACAGAGATGGTAAGGAAAGAAACACATGGTGAAGAATTAAAGAGACTACAACATGTATAAATATATAATCAAGCAAGTCAGTGTGATAAAGATACTAAAGTGGGAAAACACTTAAAGAAATGCAAAGTGCAGGCATCTATCGTTCAAAAAAACCCGTTTTGGACCTCATACCTGTCCCTTCCCTTCCCAATATGTGAAGGCAACATTAATTCAGCACCCCCACCCCCTCCGTCAATGGACAGCGGCAAATAGTAAATAGAGTAGTCTCCTAATCCTTAAACAGAATATGAGACTCACCATATAAGACAAGGTCTGTACCAAATAGTTGGAAGCTTTGAAACTTAATTCATAATGTTGACTGTCGAATTCCAAATCAACATTTGAATACTTTGCAGCTTTTAAAAAAAAATGTTTTGCATGTCTCTTTATTCTGTTTTAACACCGGAATTTCTGCACAGTTGCAGATAAAGATTAGGTTTCACTAATATTATTAGTATAATAAGAATTGTAGAATAAGATTTCAGTGGTGACTGTGTAGGACTGTTTCTGTCCAAACACTTAGTGTGGTAAAGTCCAAAAGACAAATTTTATTGAAAAAAGATAGATGTAATCATCTCTAAAATTCACATGTTTTTATCCAACGAAATATTTCTGCTTCAATCTATAATTCTTGCAGTTGCACTGCAGAAGTCCATTCGCTTATCCGGTTTGCCCAATCTGCCATTTAAATAGCAATGCAAAACAAATAACATGTACTCATGATATGAGGTATATAGTAATTTCAGTTCCACTTTAAGTGTTGCACTGCTGGATCACCAGAGCAAACAAAATGGTTCTCAAGAGATGTTACTGTGTTGTTTTTATTTGTGTATAGGCAAAGTAAGGATGAATGGATATTAAATAGGAGGGTATGTAGCATAGAAACAAGGGGATAAGATAAGACAACTTAAAACCCGGAAACAACGCACACTGAGGGGAAAATGAAAGGTTATAAGTCATAACACATCAATGTCCTCACACATAGTGTAGATACTCCCAAGCAGAATCTCAGTTACTGGAATCTGGTGTATCGATCTGCTCTGCTGTTGCAGTGGACAAGGGTCACTGAAGTGTGTGGAAAGTCAATGATGTGCGTATCTATCTGTATATAGAGACACCATCAAAGATGAATGAGGGGTAGGATTGAAAGGGCCAACAGAAATAGTTGACCTTTTCATTACTAAGGTAATTCTGTAAGCTCTGGTTATGCTGGACGACAGATAATGACGAAGATCCTAATCTTTGCTCTGGTACAATTTTTACTGTGATAGTAAAACCCTGCATTTTTCATTATAATGACACGCAAAGTGTCAGGATCCCTGTCAGACCAGACGCCTCCCATGGCCACACAGCTGCAGACACTTCAGCTAACCACCTCCTGCGGGCTGACACACCTGACCCAGATCCTACTAATGAGATCTGGGCAGTATTTGAACCCTGGTCCTCCAGACCTGTGTTGTCAGTCCGTACAGTCTTCATGCCGGAACAGTCGTCATACAGGCTTCATTCCCGGACCCGCTTCAACCCGGTACTGTCTTTTGCCTCGAGTACCTGTTAATCTGCCTGCAACCCTGTGTCGGACCAAGGGATCCACACAGTATCCTGCCTGTCTTCCGGTATCGGTCCACGGAAAACCACACCGTCGATCCCGCATGCTGTACCTTGTAAAAATAAAGTATTTTCGTTTCCTCAATCCTGTCTCGTGGTCTGCTATTGGGTCCTGTCCAGAACTCCCTTAACACAACGTGGGACAAGTGCAGCATTTGTACATTCTGAGTTTGTGCTTCCTGCACATAAGTCAATTTCCTCTTGAGGCAGATCCACTAAGGACCGATTTTTATTTAGAGAGAACTGCACTTACCAGGAAAGAAAAGACAAATATTTGAACTGGTCAGGACTGCTTCCAGTCCCTTCAACACTAACTGATACCTCCTACTCCCAATCCACATTCATCTGCACCGGGTGCTTTTTGGCACAAAATCGGCTAAAGTCTGTCAATGTGCCCTGAGCCCCCCGCAAAATACTTTCTTTTTTTTTTTCTTTGATATTTGCGCATTGCACCACTGATTTAGGAAAGGGGAGCCCTGTGTCTGTCACTGTCTCATGGAAACAGGTGATTCTCAGCTCAATGACAACAAACTTCCAAAGGAAAAGGATTCAAATTAGACAGTGGACTCCTGCAATCAGTATCTGCTATTTGTAGTTAGGGGCCAGTCTACAAACACACACATTGAGTGACACATTGCAGGACTTTTTAATTGTTAATACGTCACTACACAATGAAGGGAATTTCTTGCACAGGAAACATATCTCTGGTGTCCTGTCTCCTTGTTGGGGAGGGAAAAGGGTACAGGTGTACAGGATGCTGCTTTAGTCACACACCACACCCGCTCCTTCACTATCTAAGACCTGTCTTAGGTCTAACTGTGTCTAAGTTAGGTACACTGTGTTTTCTTGGGTGTCTGAATAATAACAGTGCTTGCCTATAAATAATGTCTCCACTGCAGCCATGATGTAGAAAACTCACACACCAACAAAGTATTCTCATAATCTGCTTGGCAACTAGTTGCTTAATGATGTGAAACAACAATCATACCAATTGATTATGAATAAGACACTAATTTGAGTCATATTAGTTTGGTTGCCTCAAGGTAAATGTGACTGAATGTTTTTATTAACATGCATATAATTATGCATGACAACGCTTGTGAGGCTTTTGAGACAGAATTGGCAAACTAAACATACAATGTTTATTCCCACATCTAAAGGTTTTTTTGACATTGGGGGTATTTAAAAAAAAAAAAAACTTCCCACATTTAATTTGCACAGCAATACATTTCTTTTCAACTGTTTTTGTCAAGACGTGAATATTAATCGGCGATAAAGTGAAGAAAAATCCAATATGTACAAAAACCAAAACAAAACAGGAAGAGGTTGACTAAATATGATTGTTTCTCATAAGCCACAATGACAGAGAGGAACTGTGCAAACCTTAAAAACTGCTGTTTGTACATCCTTATAGAGGAGAATACGAGGCTTTCCCAGAACTAACGCTCATTTACTGAAACAGTGTGTGTTTGATTTAATTAGGGACAACACTGTAGTTTGGAAGGACTAATCGTTTTAGGAAAAAAGAAAAGAAAGGGAGACGTGTGTGTGTGTGTGTGTGTGTGTGTGTGTGTGTGTGTGTGTGTGTGTCAGAGAGAGAGCTAGGATGAGAATGTTAATGAAGGCATTCTAATCAAGAAGATGTATCTGACCTGCTCCTCTTTGTCAGACGCTCTTAACTAATGACCCTGTAAATGCAACTATTGCCAATATTAGCATGTGTGCATGCTACGGTCTCTGCATATGTCAAAGTAATGTGCATGCATGTGAAAGTCTGTGTTGGTGTACGTGCACTGTGTATGCAGCATTGGTGTGTTTCTGCACAGAGCAACCAAAACTACTGGAGGTTCCCTCGCGTGAGAGGTGGACAAGGAACGTAACTCACTCGGACCAGTAGGAGACGTAGCAAAACATGAGGCGGCGAGCGTGATAGGGCAGCCAGCAGACCACAAAGGCTATAACCACCGCTCCTGAACACACAAGGGAGAGAGACAGCGTCAGAGGGCAAGAGGAAGGATATAGTGCTACAGATACAGAGCAATAAAACACACAGGGAACATTTGCAAAATTGTCCACGCAGATTATGATGCGCATATTTAAAAACCAGACTTGAACAAATAACAGACATGTATATTTGTATTGAGGACACAAGGACATGCACAATAATGACATCTTTAAGTGTTTGATGGAAAATACAAAGTATGCGCCGCCATGCAATCATGCTCAACAACCCAGTGACAATGTGGATAAATTGCCCCAGCAAATCACAGGGAAATCATTTTAAATTGTATTTCATTGTTTATAAAATGTAAAGCCTGAAAACACATGAATAGGAGTGAAATCGTAGATATCTCTTTGTGTCACAACAAAATGCATTAATACCATAAGTAAGTTAGTTTAGATTCCTTCAATTTTGCAAAATGTTTTTCCACAGCCATCGTCCAGATGGCTGTACAGGTTCAACTGCCAACATACCATACTAAATAACATAATACCTTAACCATGTTACTAAATCAGACCAAACTGAGACCCCACCAGCAAATTGGCACCATTAAAAGTATGCAAAGTTAGCAGTTCCTGTTAGCAAGGTAGTGGTACCCATGGATATACAGACATCCAACTATAACCAGATTTTGATGCAGAGGAAAACCTCTCACTGAATCTAATAATATCTCTATCATGTCTGTGCGCTCAGATTTGTCTGACTTATAACTTCAAGACGAAGGCGTGTGATGTTTTGACACAAATTGCGGCAATAGGGTTGCTATGGGTTTTAAAGTACCTCGATATCTTCCACTATGTGTGCCATTAGACCAATTTAGCCCAAGTCAAAATAAAAGCCGGGTAAATGTTAATGGTCGTCATCATCAATCTGCATCGTGGAAATCTTTCTGTTTGTGTTCCATTTGACAACAATCACCCAAATGACTATATATCAGACAGAATTGTCAACTTGTTGCAGTGGACTCGAATTCGGTGGAGAGGTTGAATTCTGGGCCCGGACAATTGATACCGAAGAAAACGTGAGACATGATCTGAAGTTATAAGGAGCAAATATATTTTTCTTAAAGGATTTTTTTTAAAGATTTATGGAGATCCACTGAACATAGTGAGCTTCGATCGTGTGTATGATGTCGGTGTTCTGATTTGAGTCTTGACACAAAAAAAAACTGCTTTTATCTGTTCAAACAAACACCAGAGAGGAAAGGAACCTGTTTCAAAAGGTTTATAAATAAGCCATTTGATTTGGCACAAATCAATAGTTCATTCAAACAGCACTGTTGGGTTTCTTTGTGGGTTTTCAGATTTTTTCTTTCATATACAACTACCATGCTCGTGCTATTGGATGACAAGGCGGTACACTGCGTCGGAGGACAGGTTTTTACTCTCTCCTTAGCTGAGAGACTTACTTAAGGGTATTGCACAGAATCCCTTAGAAGGTTTCCCTAGTTATGGAAAATGCTGTAAAATTCTAGTTTCCATGTAAGTTCTTAAAAGAACCCTGTTGTCATTCCCAGAATTCAAAGCAAACAAACTCCACGTTACAAGGACTTTTTATTTTACACTGCAGAAAACAAAAAAAATGGGAACATTTTATCTTACTTCACTTAGATGTTGCTATTTTGGGGCCAGTGTCCAATCTTAGAAATTACAGGAAACTTATTCGGGACACAATGGGGACTGAACAGATACGTGTCTCCCAATCTACATCCCTGTGAGGAGAGATTATCACAGTCTGATGCACACTTTCTCTTCTTTTGTCTGGCGGCTCTGTGGTGACATTACAGATGGCATTCATCAGATGACACTTTGGGTGCAGCAAGAACAACTCTCTTGCCCACAACGTCGCCATCACTTCGCACTGATCGTTTTTTCAATTCTGCAGTGGCTGTAGTAAAAGGTTACTTTGAGCTATTAAAGAACATCAACGTCCGGGTACAGTAAAGGAATGCTTAAATACCCAGACGCACTCAAGCTGTGAAATCAGTGGGAGAGGATGGAGCCAGTTCCATTAATGCGTGTGTCTTTGTGCTGCATGCATTCAGTCTATCAAAAAGTCAGCGGCAGCCAGACATCTCATTTGACCAGAGTCAATTCCAGCGTGGCAGCTCCGTCCTTAGCGCTCTGGCCACTGTGATTTGTCATTGTCAGTCAATCATTACGCATGCCCACACACACACACACACAGCCATTACATACAGACAGTATTTCCGAAACCCTGGCAATCCACCCTTTTTTGAATATTCTTACGTATGAATCATGGAACCATGGACCGCTAGTGATGACTGAAACATGACACCCCCACAACTTCAACTCTAAAATGTTTTACCTTTGTTCCAAAACACGAATTAAGAAGTAAGTCCCGATGGAAAGTCAGCACTGGGCTCAGTGGATCGGTGACTGTCAGCCATCGGCGATGGACAGTGGCATCGTAGTAAACAATGCAGGATTCAAAAGATCGGTCTCTGACCACAAGGATACACATAAAGTGTTTGGATGAGTACTGAATGAAACATTTAAAATGAACAACAAATTGTAATATAGATGCTTTGGAATTTAAGCTTAATAAGAAAATTGAATAGTCCATTTACGGATTTCAGTAAGGCCATTAACAGAAGTGAAAAGTGGAACAATTTCCAAGGCAAAAATTAACAGGATTGGTTCTACATTTTGGTAAAAGTCTGCTGTTAGATCTTTACTTTCATAGATTTGAAAATGTTTTACATTCCCTTGTCTTCTGGGTAGCTCTTCATTTCATTTCAATGTGAAGTTTAAATGGAAGGACTACAGTTGAGGTTTTACACCTTTATATTAAAACGTGATCAACAGTGGACCTCCAAATGTCCTCTAGTCCTCTGCATGCACACACACACTTAGGTCATGTTTGGGTGTAACTTTGACTTACATTCAAACTTACCCTAACAATAACCACAACTTGCCTAACCCTAACCAATGATGTCAAAATCAACTTTTTCCAAATGGGGACACAGCTTTTGTCCCAAATTGGACAAGCCATCCCCAATAAATAGTTGTTTAGGCTGAAACGTATCCCCAAACTTAACCTAAGTTAGGAACACACACACACACACACACACACACACGCAGAGCACGCACATGACAGTGAGGATTAGTCAGTCTCTCTACATTACGTCTGCGTGATAAAGATGGCAATCACAGCGACAGTATGAGAAATCATTTCAAGAATCCTCTTCCCGTAATTGAAATTGCATGGCATTATCAATCTGATCAGATTGACGCTGAAGTGCAACACAGATCCTCATTCATCAGGACAGATTTCAACATCGACTGCTGTGACTGGGAGTATGAGAGACAGAACTGGACCCATCTGGCCACCACATTAATTTTGACCCATTTATGCTTTCAATTCAATCAATGTGATATGCTACATAGTTCAGAACAATGACAGCAGAACCATTATAGAAAGACATTACCCATTTCATTACAAGTCCCTAATGAAATGGCAGAAATGTCAAGCTGAGCTCTCAAGAGTTTATTACACATGCCCTTGGTTAAACAAGAGACGGGGGCTAAAATACAGAGACGTGCATTTGCAGTGACTCTTGCAGTTGAAAGGAAACAATATACAATATTTAGATCATATCGTCACATACTAAAAGTAGAGTTATTCTTTTGCTCAGGTTTATGCTCTGGTTTATGCTCCTAGATGCTTGTTTAAAAAAGGACGGAAGTACACAAATTAAATGATAAACCATCAACTAAAAAGCAACTTAAAGTATATTTGCATGTATTTAATTCAAACAATACACACCATCATATAGTAAAACCTGTTTGCAAGTGAAATGACGTCCAAAAATGTCACCATTTTATTAGGCACCTGCTTACGGTAAACATCATGAAGTTCTTCTCTGCACAGAAGTTATTCGGCAATTGTGTGTACACCATGACATGGTTTTTGTTTATGTTTTGCCGTTTGTCCCTTGAGCGTTTGGAGGCGGGAAGTTCAACGGGGAAAATTCCAACCTCCAAGTTCTCCTGAACGCAGCACAAGGGTTGGTTCAGGTTGAGTTTGGGGGAAACACACTGACGAGGAAACAGTATACGACTGTTCAACACCAGGACGGACTATGTGGTCTGTTCGCTGTTTTCAGACCTGGACAAGAATGATTAGAAGTATGCTACGCTGTCTGATTTATTCCACTGTGCATTTTGCTAAATCTTGCTGAGGAACTAATGCTTGATTATTTTTGTATCAATAAAATATAGCTTTTTTTGTTGTTGTGTGTTTATTTTATGAAACTTCTTCATGTATATGTAGTAACAGTTTAAATACGCCATAAGCGTGCCGACTGCCGTGTACTGTAAGTAATACACTAACTAAAGATTTGTACCTCGTACAGCCCCACTTCAAAATACCCAAACTGGCCATTTAAGCAAATACGCCTCCCTGCTTTTGAGTAACTATAATATGTTTTACATTAAGTCTTGTAGTTATACTGTTTGTCAAGAGATTGTCAGAATTATCTCGGCAATTACAAAAATCTAGTAATTCTAAACATTGTAGCGGTATGATTTGAATCAAAATTTGAGAGGGAGGTTGGCAGTCAGCTTTGTGTATTGTTTCAGCCAAATATGAAAATGGTTTTAAGCAAAATAAATCAGCATTTTAAATAATAGTGTTGGTTGGTTTGATGTACCACTTGTGACGACCCTCCCACTCGGCTGGCTGTGTTCCTGCTCTGTGATGGTTTCCTGGTGGGAGGAGCTGGGACAGTCACCTGCTCATACCAGCCCATCGGATTGGAGCCTCCAAGAAGGCATAAAAGACAGCACTTCTGGGAGTGTCTCGCACTCTCTCAGCAGGGCCTGCTGCACCAGCCTCATCCTTGTTTCAACTATGCTGAATTTGTGGAGCTTAAATAAACGGCTTTGGGTTAGATATCTGCATGTGGCCTCCCTTTTTGTTGCCAGCCTTCAGCCAGGTGGTAACACACCACTATCACTGACTAGATAGCAGTGAGGGATACAGTGCATTTACTCAGTTGGAGTAAGTGAAGTGCAGATCACTGACACCATGATGGATCACTTACTGGCTTTTCCTGCATGCATGTGCAATCTGACTGAGCAGCTAAACAGCTTCCACCATCAGGCAAAAGGGACTGGGATCGTCGTACCTCACGTTAGTGACACAGAAAGGGTGAAACTGAGAAATATAACAATTATTTATTTGCTACCAGGAATCGCCCCCTGATGGGCATTAGCAGGAATGCAAGTTTAAGGCACTTTGTTATTGGCGTCACCTTTCAGAACCAGCTGCCCATGCAGATCTTTGGCATAAAGTTCAACTCTTTGAAATGCTAATTCATCCTACTGACCATTGCTAACTGTTTTGCCAGTGGTGAGCTTTGAGGGAACAATAACCAGTGTTAGGAAATTCAAGTGTTCTGTTTGTTTCTGTTCATAGACTTCTGAATACATCAAGCTTATGACTAGTTCAGCGTTTCCATTATCAAGTATTATCATGCACCTCTTAGGCAACAAGAGGGCCGATAACAGTGGAAGTAAACCAATTTGTGTTTCATTATCCTAAAATATTGAAGCCTCCATTAAGCGGATAACTTTACTTACTGTGATAACTGTGTTGATTCTTACGGTGTGTTCGATTATATAGATAAATATCAAATAACCATCTCTCCTTCTGTGTACCAAAATATGGAAGCACGTGTATGTTTGTGTGTAAAGTGGGTTGGTGTGCACTTACGGAGAACAAGAACCCCATGGCGCAGCGACTGAGCGCGGTTGGGCTCCACGGTGACATTCAGCATGGTGGGATTTCCCCCAACGACGCAGACACGGTTGTCCTGCTCCGCCTCACGGAACATCCGCATCAGCTGATTGGCGATGATCCCATTCAGTGCAGATATGGCCAGCATGGGTATCACAAAGGACAGAAACGCGTTGACCTGTTAGGGGAGGAAAGATAGAATGTAAAACATATCGCATGCTAAGATTTTGTTTTTATTTTCCGATAACAAATGTTCTATATATTCAGTGATATATGTATGTATGTGTATATATATATATATAATGTATAAAAATATATATAAAATAGTTGCAGATACATTTCTGTCGACTTACTGATCAATTATTTGACGAACCGTGTGTATGCTATACTCACATGTGTGCACAGCTTCATTCTTAATAAGAGGCCACAACAACAGAAAACACAAGCTTTTTTTACTTTAGCTTTTTGACGAAGTGGGAAGGAGTATTGTCACATCAAAATAAACATATATGAAAATAATCCTGATTATTACTTTGTCCAATCATGACACATCTATTAGAAAATGTTAAAAGAGTGGTGGCGGACAACAGTTTAGGATGAAAGGGCACGAGAGTTGTGGGCGAACTTGGTGACAGTCGGATGAATCACTTACACTCAAAATCAGAGGTGCACTAAAACTAATGGAGCTGGCCACTTTTTGTGCTTTTTGAAACCTCTTTGCAACCACTGTAATCCTCCTTTGATTAAATCAATTTAGCAGATATATGAACACATCAACAGTGTCCTAGCTTTGTTTTCCCCGGCAAAGGAACGATGAAAACATTCTGACTTCCCACTCAGTTTTCTTTTCTTTTTTTAAGCAATTCAAGAGTTCCTTTGAGAAATACTAGATGAAATTACATGTTATGAGTTCTTTGATCAAATTCAGTATGGAAAGTCTTGCTCAAACAATTTCCGTCACACTCAGCTATGTTGCTGCTGGAACATAAAAGAGGGACGATAAAGTGAGCAGCGAAGATTAATGAGAGAGTAGAATGGAGCGAGAGCCAGGAGGGGGAAAAAAAAAGAGGAGCAAGGAAGTGCTGCTCGACATCCGTTATGTCAGCTGACTTCCTAGTGGAGCTACCGTGTGACTGCGTGGAGCCGGCGTGAGAGGACGTTGGAGAGAGGAAACGTGGAGGGATGTGTGGTGTGTTAATTTGTGTAGATACTTCCTTAATCAATGTAACTAACAGCTCTTACATCAGTTCTTCCCTCCAGCATTCCCTCTCCTCCTACTAAACACACACACACACACACACACACACACAGACGCAGCGCCGTTGTTTTTCCAAGGGATAATCACGGATGACAAATGTTAATGGCTTTAACGAACAGGCTGGCTGACTCCTGAGGGTCCCCTGCCTCCTAGACATTGTTGACTGATTAAAGCTGAAAAGGAGAGCAGAAGAGACGCAGCGAGGCAAACCCCTGCTTCAGAGTGAGGCGAAACCTCAGCTTGGTTGGAAAGAAAAATAAAATAAAACACGAGAAGCAGCCAAAGAAACTGTCAGAGCTATTGTGGATAATTGAGACTGAAGTGCAAGGAATTTGAGATATTATGCAAAAATGATTGGAGGGGAAAATGTGACACAGTGAAAATTTTAACGATAAGTTTTGATATTTTTATGCATACAGAAGGAAAATACAAAGGGGTGTAAGGTTACACAATCTTGAAAATGAATGTTGGAGGGTCACAAAGACAACAGGACTGTGACGTCCTCTTCGCTGACTGCTGCCAGAGCAGCGACTGTGTCCAATATATAACTCTTATCGAGTGTTAAGTGTTTTCTAATTCACCTCCCTGTCACCAGAGATTTACGACTAACAGTTGTTGCACTTGTCTTTCCTCTGGGATGTGACTGAGAGAGGCTGGCAGGTTCCCACCCTGAATAAGAACACCAATACATTTTAAAGCAAACAAAATGTATTGGTAAATCAGGAGTTGGGCATCACTTGCTGGGAACGAGGTTTGTGCAGGTAAGCATTTGTGCTGTAGGGGTGCATTCATTTTTTGGCAACCAATCTTTATTTCATTTTCACATCTGGATTGGTGGGGTTCAGGGATATGACACGATGGAGACTCGATGCTGTCAGAGAAGGAAATCAACGCAAGCTGGGATCAGAGAAAAAATAATCTGTCTTAGATAGTTACCCTGTTACCATTCCTGTAAAATTAGCCTAAAACGCCTATCCAAGACATACCCAAAGTAAATTGAAAGCTGTTCTTGAACCATTTAGAGTACATGCATGGTTTTGGTCTCTTTTGAAAGGTAACACTGAAGTTTTTCCCCAACAGTCAGAATCACTGTAAGTGCTACTGGCATTGAGTAATAGAAGTTTGAACACACTGAAGTAGAAGGCTTTTATTTCCGCCTGAATATCTTTTTGCAGACAGCTGCCTGCAGATGACTATAGCTGGGACTTATTAGCTGGAAAACACAATGGGACCACAGCATGAAGCCTTACCTAGTCCAAGTTCAGATTTGATAACAATATCACAGAAAATGAATATTTGACACATGTTTTTCCAAGGGTATGTCGAGGCATTTTCCAAAAAAGGCCATTTGGAGACCCATGGTAACCATGGTAACATACCTAGGCTAAAAAGACCTAACCCACTCCTGATCTGAATCTACATCAGATGATTGGCTATTATGTGAAAATAAAGAAATAACAGTTCGTCATTTACAAAACTTTTCCATCTTTTCTGCATTCTCACACGTCAGCAGTTCACACAATGAAACACAGAAGGGGGGAAGGCACACACACACACACACACACACGCACACACACACACACACACGCACACACACACACCTCCTTATGTGGGTATATATATATATAAATTATATATCTACTCTATCTATATACCTCCCCCAGATCAGCAGTAACACCTAAAGACACACACACGCGCGCGCGCGCACACACACACACACACACACACACACACACACACACACACACACACA